CATAGAATTATTTCAATAAAATCATTAAAATTAGAATTTCAATATATCATATTCTTACTTCAAATAGATTTGAAACGACAATTATGTATGTGAAATATCTAATATTTGGTCATGGTTTGACCATGGCATTTTGGCATTTTTAACCCGAGACCCTTTGGGGGTATGAATATAATATAAATGCCTGTACTTTATAATAATAATAGAGAGTCTACCAACAGAAGTGAGAGGCGATACATGTAATCCAAGATCAATATATATCCCAAAGTAAATAGTTGATTTTATTCACTTTGTTATAATTTTTTAATTAATTAATCAAAGTGATCCCCAATGATACAAAATCCTACCATTGATTTTATTTAATTTTCTATCATTTATAACCTGATGTGATCCTATTTATATGTACATACCTATTAATGCCATCAATGCATCTCGCACCATTCCTGCAAGGATTACTATGACATTCGTTTACATTTACTTCACAATTAATTCCTGATGTACCAGGAAGACATCTGCATCTGTAACCGTCTACTAGATCTTGACATTGACCTGAAAGAAACAAAATTATAAAATAAATAATCAATATTTGAAAAATATTTCTTAATAATTATATTGACAATATGCTTATATTTATATTATTTTATTTAAGATTAAGAAATCAATAACTAGATAGCTTAATGTAAAAACTAACAAGTTATAAATAATATGAATAGATTTACAATGTTTACTTTAACAATTAAAAAATTGGTATCAAAAATTATGTATACTTTGTACGCGGCATACATCATTACGTCATTTTTTTTATTTTAACTTTTTTTAATTTATATTCAATTTATTGTATTTTTTTTGTATTTTTTCTTTTTTTGCACACATCAATTTTATAAATAAGACATTAAAGTCTTGATTAACAAAAATAAATCATAACAAATTATGTACAAAAAATTTAGGTTTAAGTTTTCAAAAAGGTATCAAAACAAAGTGTATCAATTCACAAAATGATGTTACACAAAAATAAGACACCATTCCATAATAAATAGTGACTTCATTGTCATTTATAATATCTAACTTTAATCCTAAATATTCTTAATAAATTTATTACTATTATTATTATCATTATTACTATTATTATTTATTATTACCTCCAAACATGCAAGGATCACTATCGCACTCATTGATCTCAGTTTCGCACAACCTGCCAGTGTAACCAGGATGACAAAGACACCTGAAACTATTATCACCATCGACACAGGTGCCACGTCTGCATGGAGCAGAAGCGCAGTCATCTACATTGTGCTCGCAGGAGGTTCCAGTGAAACCTGGAGGACAGGAACAAGTGTAACCTGCTACACTGTCTCGACAGACACCACCATTCCTGGGAAAAAAATAAAAAGGATTATGTAAAGAAATGTTGTATAATTTATTATTTATGGTTTTTGTTAAAGCTCTACATTCTATTTGAAGGTTATCCGAAGAAGTTAAGATTTAGTCAGAGAGTAGAGTCAGCAGTCAGACTTGGAGTTAGACTTAGTGTTCAATTACTTAGAAAAATGTAGTCTTTGCATATTTATAACCAAAGAGTTATCAAATAAATTATTCAATTATAAAAAATATTCTATCTTATCAACCGGTTTCCTCCAGCAACCAACCAACCTAAGGCTTTCGATAGTATTTCCCATGAAATCCTTATTAATAAATTAGAAAAATATGGTGTGCGTGGTTTATCACTTCACCTATTCACATGTTATCTATCTAGCAGAACACAATCAGTTTATCTTGATGATCAAGACTCTACAGTAATATCTAATAAGTTAAATATAAAACTCGGAGTCCCACAAGGCTCTATTCTTGGCCCCTTATTATTCTTAATTTATATTAATAATTTGCCTAATTGTACCAATCTTTGCAAATTTATTCTTTTTGCCGACGATTATTTAATAAGTTTAATTATTAAAGGAAAATCTTTTGAGGAAGTCAGTTTTAAACTAAACCAATCAATGATTGCAGTTTCTAATGGGTTCAACTCTAATAACCTTTTATTTAATAGCGATAAAACTAAAATAATGCCGTTTGAAACAGTCAATAGGATTAATAACGAGATCAATTCCCTAATTATTAATGATGTCCTCTTCAATTTTTCTGCCGTTTCTAAATTCCTAGGAATTCAAGTTCTTGGGATAATCATATTTATTCGTCATTAATACCTAAACTTTACTTTTAATACCAGAACTTGTTTTATGTTAAGAGTACTTAAATCTAAAATTAGTTTAAATTGTCTTCTTTCTATCTATTACTCCAACTTCTACTCGCATTTGGTCTACGGCTTTCAATTTTGGGGTTTTTCAGCATACTTAAAACATGTTTTCAAACTTCAGAAAAGAGCACTAAGAATCATGTTCCCTCTTAATTCGATGACAAGTTGTAGAAATATTTTTTAGAAGTATAACATTCTTACTGTTCCTAACATATTCCTACTTATTACACTTCTCTTTATAAAAAATAATCCCCAGTACTGTGATTTATCTTCCACTATGTCACAAGGAATAGAACTATCAAAGGATCGACTTTTAAGCTTAATACTACTTTTAATTCAATTGATGGTTTTGGTATTCAATTATTCAATTTATTACCTTTACAAATACGTCAACTAAGCAATCATAAATTCCACAACGTTTTGAATAATTTATTTTTTAAAGCCAACAGTTTTTATGACATTTTTGAATATATTAATTTTGACTTCAAGAAATACAGTGGTACCATCCCCTTCATATTATAAATATCTATTTGTTACTAATTATATGTAATATCTTACAAATACAGCAATTTTTGGCTATAACTGAGTATTACTTAGCTGTGAAATATTTTTCTTCGTCTCTGATATTGCCCTTTTTTTCAGAAAAGCGTCTAAACTTTTTAATAATTACTGCGAATCAATGGATATACAGGACTTTAACCTTTGAAGATGCTCTAAGTCTAAACGAAGACGTAATATCAAGTTTCATAAAATCAAGACACAAAATAAATTATTTTAGCACTCCTTTATTTGTATTTTATATTTGGTTGTTTTGTTATTTAATTGTAAAATTGTGATTTGAGTTGTATATCTAATACATCTAAAACCTCCAACAATACACAATTTCATTTCAGCATGTTGTGATCGACCAATAAAGGCCAGAAGCATATTTAACCAGTAAATACCAAAGAAACCTTATAAATTTACATAAAATTCTGGCTGACATCTGATGCAGAAACAAAATATATGGTGAAAAGTTGACCATATTTAGGAAAAGACTATGCATCAACCCCTCTAAGCGAATTTGTAGTAATGAAATTTCTTAAAACATCTACCATTAAGGGTATAATTGCAATAATCGATATTATTTTTACAATTATTCATATGGCATCAAAATTAAAATCTATAAAACACAATAGTTTTCTTAAAGACCAGTTATTTTGACTGGAATTGATAGATATTAGGGAATGCAATACCGGTATACCGGCATACCGAATTACCGGTAAACCGCCCGATTTTTCGGCGGTATTTTTACCGATATTTATCCTAAAAATACCGGTATGTTCGGTATAATACCCTAAAGTTTAAATTTCTCGGAACAAATTTATCTTTAAATTCCATAATCGCATAAACAGCTATATCTTCAAGTGATTCTATAGAATAAACAAATGTCAAATATTATCTCAACTCGTCATTAAACTGAATATTTATTACTTTCCAAAGGGCTTCATATCGTGTTACAATAAATAGAATTGGACTGATAGATAATGATGTTTGTTTTATCTTTTGTAAAAATGTAACGGTTTTTTAAGTGATATTTGCGCCAAAATATTTTATATCATACAGATTACCTTGCGTAATCTTTATTTTTTTCTAACTTTATACATAATAATTATGATAATTACTAAATATTTTTGCTTCTTATTACAATTATAAAATATTATTTTTCGAAAACGTTTCGAAGTTTAAAAATACTATAGGAGCATCACATTGTTTTAAATAACAATACTCAACAATTATAGTAACTTATTATTTATCTCGACAAAGTATCCGATCTTAAATTAGTGTAGAATTTTTTTTTTAAATATTGGAGATTATGCTAATTTAACACATCGGATACAGACAATACAGTTTATTATAATAATGTAATATGATCTTTTATGAGTTTTTGGTCTTTCTTACTCATAAGTTTATTTTTGGTGGAAAGTACTCAATATACTCAATAGTGATTATGAAGTAATTAAATTGGATATACTTTTGTTAAATTATTATTTAAAAAAATAATCTTATTACTAGTTACTTAGTCTTAGTACTAGTAAATTTCAATTTTGTTTACGTTTGTTTAAGATAATAAAAATACCGGTAATTTACCGGTATTCCGGTTTTAAAATGAAAAATTACCGAAATACCGGTATTGAAATTTTCCATCGGTATTGCATTCCCTAATAGGTATATTCAAATGGCTGGAATATCTAGTGTTAATCATTTATCATTATGTTTTAGATTTATTTATTTACCTGCAAGGTGAAGAGGCGCAATCGTCGATATTAATCTGGCATCTGCTCCCTGTAAATCCTTCGGCGCAGTCGCAATGGAAACTGTTTATGAGGTCCCTGCAGGCGCCGCCGTTCAAACATGGTTTGGAGGCGCATTCGTCTATGTCGATTTCACATTGGGTACCGGTAAAGCCTGGAAAAAAATATATTTAATTAGTCATAAAAGACAGATGAAATAATTAGGGTTCAAACTGAAATATCGCCAGCAAACTGCTGGAACTTCCCGTACTGTAACAAAATGTTCGAGGAATATTAAATGTTTTCAAATAGACTATTATAAATAATGGAACATCGTCTAATGTTTATAAGAATTATATAAACTGAATTGCAAAGTTGAAATTATTTGTTTAAAGTATATTAGAACTTAAGTCAGAATTATAATTAAAATCTGAATTATATTCAATATACAAAAAGAAATTTCTTTAAAAAAAAAATTGAAAAAAAAATGAATTTTTTTCCCAAAAGCAATTATTTTGTCAAAGACGGAGAATCATTCAAATCAGATGCGTAGTCTCCGCAAAAACTCTGCCATTTTTTGTACATTTAGCTCCGTATCTTCGAAGCTTTTTAGATCATTCAAATCGGATACTCAGTTCTCGCAAAAACTCCATTTGTATTTTCTTCACTCTTTGCTCTGTATCTCCGTAACGGCTGGACCTGCTTTTGCCAAAAACTGATCAGCACATCTCCCTATCGATAGGAATCGAATGTTTTTGAACCATTCAAATCGGTTGATCCGTGCGCCCGAAAACGTGGACGAAAAAATACGGACATACAAAACACACACACATCAATTTTTTCTTAAGTATGCCAAAATGTTCAGAAACCTCTGAAACGTGAAGATATGCAAACATTTTCATTTTCATATGCAAAAATTTTCATTATTATTCGATTATATGTAATACTTTTTTATCTATGATATTACACTATGTCTTATATTTTTTACCTATATATTTTTTTTCGAGCCTTCTATAAAATTCTATCCAATCTTTTTCATAATTAATTTGAAAAAAATAGCATTTTTTGGTTTGTTTTCATAATTTTTGTTAATTTACTTATTAAATTTGGAAAACTGGGACACAAGGTGAAACCGAGGCGTCACCTCATATTAAGGCTCTACAAGTCGTTTAATTTAAAAAATTCACCAAAATTAGCAAAAATTTGTGACGTTTTTTGGTGTTTGTCAAAATTAAACCTTTCATCGACGTTTTCTCAAAAACGCCTAAACCGGTTTTAAAAATTTAAAAGCCATTCGATGTATCTTGATGAGGATTATCGTTTCTCAATATTTTGTACGACGATCGGCCGAGTCGTTTCTTTGTAATAAGCAGAAAAGTGAAAAATGTTCGTCCACGTTTTAATTAAAAATTCGGACTCGATTTTAGAAATTCAAAAACTAATCGAAAGATATTATTTGGGAATCGTGCTTATTAGTTTTGGACAAAGATCGGCCGAGCCGTTTCTTCGTAATTAACTGTTGAAAAAACTTTTTTCGATGAAACTTTTTATGTTGATAGATATTGTGATCCTGAATGACATACTAAAATGTTACGGCCCTACGGCAATTTAAATTCAATTTTAAAAATTTCTGAAAGTTTGGAAAAAAATGATGTGTCAAAATTTGCATATCGCATATTTAAAAGCCATTTTTTAGAATCAGCGGAAAAACAAGTTTACAAAAAGTCTCTGGTTGTGTAAAAAACGATTAATTTAAATCATTAAATAATATCACTACTACGTATATGATATACGTAATAGTGCAGTTGAACTAATTTTCTAAATTTCAAATTCGTTTGATTAAGTCAATTATTACAAATTTCGGGAGGATCATGCAACTTGCCTAAAGGCAAAATGCCACTTTCAACTAGTAATTAAACATTTGATGTCATGAAAATAAAGATAATTATACATTTTATTAAGAATGATGTTTGTATAACCATAACAGATATTATAGAACATGCCTATTCGTTATATCCATATAGTCACTCATTTCGCTTCCAAATTAATGAATTTCCCAATATGAATCAAAATAATTGTATTTCGTCAAAATCATTTATCCCTAAATTAATTCAAATAATTATGTCTTTAAAACAGTGTAAAACAAAATACATCTCCCTGAATCTTTTATACATTTAAATGCAGTTACATTTCGAAACTTCTGTTCAAGTAGCAATTATCATTTTGGCTAATGACACGTTGCAACTACATCGTCTTGACACCGTCCAAGGCGCCCCATTAACATTGACCCGCCGAGGGCCCCATTTAATTAACGGTTTTGTATAAAACAAGAAGAAACTGAATGGAATTGGCCAGATTCAGTTCTTGAGAGAACAACAGGAAACAAGGGTAATTGAAATTGACAATTAATATTATTAATGTTATTACCTGGCATGCAGACACATCTGAATGTTCCTGGATCATCCAAACAAGATCCTTCATTTCTGCAAGGATGCGATTCACATTCATTGACATTGATTTCACATCGGGGCCCTGTAAATCCTCTCGAACAGTTGCAAGCGAATGAGCCTGGTGTGTTGACACATATACCATCGTGCTCACAAGGAGATCCTGAAACAAAACCAAAATTATATTACAAAATTATAGAATGCATTTACATCTTTTTATATATAAAAATGGAGCTCTCGATAAAATGATCCGCTAAAACTCGAAAACGGCTAAACCGATTTGACCAGTCTTAGTCTTGAAAAATTCGTGCCAATCAGTAGTTTGTCGCAAAGGTTAAATATTATTTCAAAATCGCGTAGAAACTTTACATTTTTAATTCGAACATTTTTGTAGAAGCGTAATTTGAATAAAACAATGGAGGTGGCTAATAAGTCAAATATCAAAAGTTTTCGACAAATGATGTTCAATTACGTTTAATAGGATGTTTTAGTTATGATTAAATTGCAGTTCGTAGTTATATTTATACAGAAAACGTTATTAAACGGATCGCAAGTGTTACTAGAGCACTCTTTTTTGCAAATCATATTTTTCTAAAACACGATGATCTGAAAAATCTCATTTGTATAATTATATACTCATTGGTATTTATAAAACATTTTCTAGGTTATATTATTTTTTATTTATGTTATTTTAATTCAGAATCTAAATTTGGTATCGATCAAATGGGCATTTTGTCGAATAACATTTTCCCAGTTATAATTTCCCAAAATTTATTCAAGAATAGATAGTAATATATGAAGGTCCGGGGTTAAAAAGGTCCACCACCGATGTGTCAAAAATCAGTAAAGTTAAGCATTGTTTAACAACAATATTTGAGAGTAGAGGGAAAAAGATGTACAACCAGCTATAACCTTTATGCTTATGACTTTGCTATCGGGAGATAAACGGTAATCTTTGAAAATCCATAATAAAAGTATTTTCTTCCGTTGGTAGTTTTTTTAGCATTAGTTAAAAATGTAATTGTTTTGTAAAATACCCTTAAAATTAAAATAAGACATTAAACCTGTTTGCCACCTGGCCGTTACAAGTTACCCCGTCTATGGGTCTAGATAACAAATTTTTGAAAGACATCAAAAAAGCACATTAGTACAATGATGAAGTAGCTGACAGTTTTCCTGAACGTAGTCAGATAATTGTTTGTTTGAAATGTGTTATTTGTTGTGATATAATTGGTTTGATTTTCACAATATAATTAATATTTGCTCAAAGTCAAATTGGACCTTTGTGCCTCGCCCTGCTCTACATATATACTTTTTATAAAATTTACTTTAATTCATCAAATGTTACTTGAAACTTTTCAAAAAGCAGGCCAAAGAAGAAATACTTAATTCATTTTCTATCTATCCTCGCAGAAATTTGAAAATTTTGTATAAGCTCAGTAGTATTATTTACAATTATACACAAAATCCAGAATCCAAAAATAATCTGAAAAACTTGAAACGTAATCAATAAGTCGGAAGATTAAAAAAGACTTGGATTGGATTATACCATGTTTTCTATGGAAAGTGTATAAAACTTCCAGCTTGATTGTATTGACAAAATATAGGCAAAGTAGTGGGGTTTATTGTTTTTATAATACATCATTGTATATAGCATTCAGACAGCACATCCTTATACACTTGAAGTATTTATATTTTTGATTCTCTAGAAATTGTTTAGAATATTTCTTACTTATTGTTAGCAAAACAACGTTTGCCGGGTCAGCTAGTATATTATAAGTATGCGGTTATTACTCACCTTGTTCACATTCATTGATATCTTCAGAACAGTCAAGTCCTTTATAACCAGATGCACAGGAGCATGTGAATGAACCATTGATGGGACTGGTGTCGCAGAATGCATCAGCATGACAAGGATTACTCGTACAGGCATCATCCAAGTGACACAGCAATCCTGATAAACAATTACAAAACATTAGTCAATTTAATACAAAGATTTTTTTTCATTTACAACTTTCTTTGTCCATTTACCTGTCTTTCCGGGTGTGCATTGGCAATAGAAACTGCCAACTCTATCGATGCAAGTGGCTCCATTAAAACAAGCGGCTCCTTCGCAATCGTCGATGTTTACAGAACAATCAGGACCGGTCCAGCCGTTGACACAGATGCAACCGTATCCTCCTGCTATGTTGTTGCAGGTTGCACCATTTTGACAAACCGAAGGCCTAGAAGATAACAGACATAATATTAGATTAATTATACTGAAAATATATTAAGGGGCAATTTTAAAAAAATCGTATTTTCCTTTTTTTCATATTTCGATAGGTTATACCTTTAAAAATAACATACCAAAATTTTAAATCGATATCTTAAATAGTTTTTGAGTCACAGCCATTTAAAAGAGTATATGTATATATAGTATATAGTATAACGATCATTTTATCTTTAAACGCGTTTTTCTCGAAACAGCATTTTCCGAATTTGCTGCAGCGATTACTCGAAAACAAATGATCCCATCGCAATCAAATTTTTTTACATGTTCTATATATAGTTCTCCGTAAAATAAACTATCGATTTTTTGATCGGATCAAAAATCGAATTTTGGCAGTCCAGAAACGACCAAAATTTTGGGTATTATTCGACTTTTTTTCAAAACGCCGCCATTTTGTCAATTTTTTATTATTTTTTTTATCGTAGTTCATTTTACAGACAATATTATCTAGTTTAACGAGAATTTTTTCTTTTAATTTCATCCACGTAGAAGACCCGAATCACTGTAGCAGTAAAGAGGCTTTTTTTTCGCGCCGTTGGAGATCGACGATAACTTAAAAAATATTTAATTTTTTTCTTCAAAAATTTCACTAATTGTAAGTATTCTTAAAACATGTGTAAATATATTCTTAAAATTTTGAAATGATTGATATAGTATTTTTTTAATATAAATTCCCAAAAATCACCTTTTTTTAGGCGGTTACGCTAGTTGTGCCACTTAAAACTTATAGGACTTCTATATTAATAACTAATATATAACGAAAACTAATAGGAAAATTTACAAAAAATTATGAAAATAAACAAACAAGTGCTAATGTTTTTAAAATAATTATGAAGAAGCAAAAAAAAAACACGAATAAAAGAGTATTACATATAATTGAATAATAGAGTTCTCACTAAAAGTCAGCAATTGCGATTAAAAAAAATTGATTCATATTTATTAATTTAAAAATTTATTCATTATACAGATTTCTTATTGTATCCTTAAATAGCATTTGTTATTTTAAAGCCAAAGCTCCTTACCCCTCTCCCTCCGTGTACCGAATTGTCATAACAAAAAAATTTGTTTTAACTTTAAAAAATATGGTCACCTTAATATTAATAATTTTATTTAAAAATTTATTGCAAACAAAAATATATATTTAAGATGTGTAAATTTTTTTGCCCTTTGGGTTACATAAGTATTTTGGTTCTATTTGTCATTTTAAGAAACTTTACCGAAGGAACCATAGCTCAAAATTGAATTTGGAGTCAGCGAAACTTTTAATAAGATTTTTTCTTCGTATATTAAAATAAATTAAAATATTTAAATATCAACTTACAGAATATTTTACATGGTGCAAAAAATGATAATCAAAACCAACTCCTTAAAATGTTATAGAACAAGTAAACCTAATTACCTTCTAAGAAGATACCTAAACTTTTGGAAAAAACCCTTTATTTAAGATAAAAATTCTGTTTGGTCCCAAGCTCTGGTTTCTTCGACAAAGATTCTTAAACTGACTAATATAGTTTGCTATAAAATCTTTCTCCATTTAATTTTTTTGATTTGTCTATTATCTATTTACCTCAATAGACATTCGTCGACATCAGCTTCGCAAAATGGTCCAGTAAATGCAGGCGGACAAACGCACTTGTAAGAATCAACACCGTCGACACAGGTGCCCCCATTCTGACAAAGATTCCCTGGACATTCGTCAATGTTCTCTTCGCAGTTTGTGCCTTCGAATCCTGGAAAAAAAGAGAAAAAATAATCATTAGTCGGGCGTTACATCAATAAAAATAGTATGATAGTTTTTTAAAAATTTATTTATTTAAAATTCATACGTTTCGGCTAGCATCTTAGCCATCATTCAGTGGCAATCAATTTAACTATAAAAATTAAAACTAAATAAATAATATGTAAGAAATTTTGTAGAAAAATAATAATAATAATAATAATAATAAAACAATTACAATTTTGTATCCTAATATAACATATGAAAACATTATTAATCCATGGTATGAGTATGTGCACATTGATAAAATATTTATTTTTTAACATCACAGATGGTAAAACACACAAATAAACATGTATAACTCAACAAGGTGTCGGTATGTATTTACTGTTCGGAGTTTAAGATAGAAATGTCACATTTTTTCTTAAAGAAGTATTTAGCATGTGTTCAAATTTTACCAGAAATTTAAAAAGAGATGAGTTCTTGTCATTTTTTAAGAAATTTTGACACGCTATTAAGGAACCACGTGTTTGTTTCGTTCAGGGCCGTATTGTCTAAACGTTTGTTTATGACTTTGTCGTTATGCAATTGTAAAAACAACCCCTTAGCGAATCTTCTTCTGATTACGTTCTCTTCAAAATGTAAAATTTTAGGGTTGAATAAATCTATATTATGGTTTAAATTTTTAATATGCTCGGTTAACATCGTCTTAAATTGCTTCGGATTTTTTGAGTTGTTTTTATGTTCATGAAGGCGTTTACTCAGGTTTTGGCTAGTTTCTCCAATATAAAACAGTTCGCAATTAGAGCACTTAATCTGATATACCAGGTTCCTGAGGCATTCAGAATTAAATATATATATATATATATATATATATATTTGTGTGTGTGTATTACCTTTATCTTTTTCCCTTTTACCGTAACAGAATGGTCAGTCAGTGGGATAATCGTGAGGAGTTAGTAAGACGTTATAAAGTGCAGGCAGAATATCGCGATATGCGATATGTTGATATAAATGCAATATATATGCAGATAGTGGAATAGATGTATAGCAAGCAACACAGACCCGGTCGTATCGAGTATTTGGTATTTACGACCTATCGGGGGGCCCCCCGGAGCCTCCGTCGTGTATAGGTTAGCCTACATACCTCCACAGCAACAAACTCGACAAACTCTCGAAACGTACAAACGGCGGCTCGTGCATTTATATTGAATATAAAATTTTATCGCTCTTTTCTATGCATATCGAATACCGAATGATTTTACATTCACCAGAAACTGATACAAAGTTTTCTTAACAGATATTTAATAATTAATTTAAAACTGAAACTAGTGGTGTATAGCATCATGCCTTAAGGCAAATTGCTGGAACTTCCCGTATCGTAATGAAATATTCGAGAAATTTTAAACGTTTTAAATATATTATTACAAATACTGTAACTTTCATTATTTTTGCTATCTGAGCAAATCAAATGTATAATTATAAATCAATTTATCTCCAGAACATTAGCAATCGTCATTTCATTTCGAATTCAATTTAAAAAAAAATAGTTGTCTAATTTACACAAAATTGAAAAAGTGCTCCCGTATAGTCACAGTCTAAACGCATATGCAAATAATTCTGTGCGACATTTTCACTTATACTGTGCTTAGCTTGGCGGCATTTTCAAATTTTCCAATAGTTTTCACAAAATTGGAAAAGTGCCTGAAAACAGTCTAAACGCACTTGGGTAAACATTTGTACCAAGGTGACGCTTAGATTGTGCTTAGCCTGGGTAATTTTTTGAATTTTTAATCCAAAATTACAAAAATATTTTATGGAAAATAAGAAAAAAGATGTAATCATTTTTTATCCTCAAAAGCAATTGCTTTGTCAATACAAGCAGAAAGTTCTTTAAATCATTCAAATCGGACGCTTAGTTCTCTCAAAACTGCCAGTTTTTGCACATGGCATTTACTCTGTATCTCCGAAATTGCTGAACCTGTCTTTGCCAAAAACTAATCACCTATTCTCCCAATAATTACAAATTGAATGTTTTTTAGATTATTCAAATCCGATACTCCGTTCTCTCAAAAACTCAATTTGTATTTTCTGCACAATTTGCTCCGTATCTCCGTAACGGCTAAATCTGCCTTTGCCAAAAACTAATCAGCACATCTCCCTATCAATAGGATCGAATGTTTTTTGAACCATTCAAATCGGTTGATCCGTGCGCCCGAAAACGTGGACGAAAAAATGCAGGCATACAAAACACACACACTCACATCCTTTTTTTTCTGATGTATGCCAAAATGTTAAGAAACCATCAAAACGTCGAGAAATGCAAAAAAACTCATTTTCGTTTATAACTACCTTACGAAAAGTTAATAAAATCATTTAAAAAAACACTTCCAATCAATTGCCCGTACTTTTGCTATTAGTGTAGTATACTAGAATCTTTCTACAAGCATACATACTATATCAGTATCAAACGATCCAGAATGACCTGGTGCATAAAATTTGCAAATCGGATTTTTTTTGGCAAAACATAAACTTTTGTGAACAACAAAACTTTATTTCGCCATATTAAGTAATAGAAGGTAATTTTAAGTGATAAGTAGGCAGTAAAATAAGAGTACAAACTTACACCAGGACAGGCCCATAAATCTAGTATACATCACACCCTCAATTATAAACAAAATTAATATTAATATTAAATTATGGTGATTTAAATTTTAAATATACAACATGTATATATATATTATATAAATGTTTAGTGTGTGTGTATATATGTGTGTGTGTTGTGTAGTATATCTGACTTCCTTTCCAGCGATTTCGGACCGTGGGAATGTTGGTGCAGAGTCAAAGACAAGGACGGCGTTATAGCTTTGGCGTGAGAGCGAGCGAGAGAGGTATACGGCAAGGTACCACATTCGTTCTGCACAAGACAGGGGAAGTCAACGTAAGACTTTTGGTAGCGAAAAATGTAGGAATCTAATTGAAATTTTTTATTATAAAAAAATAAATGCAAATTATAATGGTTATATGTTAGAGATTGACGCTCCGTCTGGACATTGGATCAAAAGGGACTGAAAAAACTACCTCAAAAGTTCCTAAACGTGAGGCTAGATACTGGTGCAAATTATATAGTCAGCTAGAATATTGCACTGGATATTAAGGACATTTGGCATTATTTAGTGAAGTCGCAAGCAGAGCCAAAAAGGTAAAGGTTCTTCCAAGATGAGTGCAGAAAAGTTTCAATGTGTCACCAATCCTGTATCATGATACAAGTGGAAGATTTTATTAGAGGAAAAAGATCACCAGAAGGTAGGCTAATAATCTACTGCCCTAGGGCAGGTCCGTGATCTGAGTTAAACTCCAACCCGATTCAGTGAAGAATAGTGCCAGAGGTTTTCCATTGCCATTTCACACCGCAGTGCCTATCGAAATGGACTAATTTTAATTAGAAACATATTTTTAACTTCCCGTGGGGAAAGTAAGTTATAGTAATCGTCCAAAAATCGAGAATTAATTTTTTTGCATATTTTCACATTTCAGCGGTTTCTAAACATTTTAGCTTCAGCAAAAATAGACGTGTGTGAGTTTTGTGTGGATACAATTTACTTTTTGAATATCAAAAATTATTCGAATTTTAATTTTCATTCTAGCTAAAATTCTAAAGCTCGCTTATATACTTGAAATATCTCCCATAATAAAATATTTGAGAACATTTAATATTCTTCGAATATTATATTACGGTGCGGGAAGTTCCAGCAATTTGCCTTAAGGCACGATGCCATACATCACTAGTTCATCTAAATTTTCAAGTGAAAATGACATCGTTGCTGCCCGATGTAGGTTGCAGGGATCAAACTAATAAACCTTGTCCGCACGAGTCCGTGCGCTTAACCTTTACGATCGTATGAAGTACTTGGAATTTATTTCAAAAACGAGTGACTGCAGGAGGAAAATCAGGATTAAAAACAAAAAGAACAACTCTTTAAAGAAACAAATAAAAAATCAACTAGAACTCAGCTTTTGAGTAAACCGAAAATCAAGATTAGAAAAAAGAAATATTTTACAATCGTCTTAGTAGAATAGCATTATATAAGATGAAAAAAAGACTCTTTTTGATAACTGAAATAAAAACTAGTAGTGCATGGCATTGTACCTTAAGGCAAATTGCTGGAACTTCCCGTACCGAAAACTTAATTATTGAATAAAAACTTTCCAAAACTTTGAAAAAAGCAGATTTTTGAAAAAATTTGATTTTTAAAAAAAAAAAGTTGATTTGATAAAAAATTTGTTTAAGCAATCGCGCTGCATAACTGATTTCGTGTGGAAATATCAAAGCGCATAATCGCCGCGCAGTTGTCTAACGTGTAAACATTGGTACGGAACTCATGTAAATGTACACAATATTTATACTTATTGTTAGAATCTCTATAAAATATCTGATAATTTGATGAGCATATGTCTAATGATCTGATTTTTGACCGCCAAATGGCATTTTTTTTACTTTTTTTACTAGATCTCCGAAACCGCTAGACCTAGACCTAGGCCTTCATGAAAATTTGATCAGTTCTTCATCTTGTTAATACAAGTAAAATGTTTTTTGAATTATTCAAATCGGACGCTCCGTTCTCTTCAAAACTGAGTTACCGTTTTTGGCACATTTTGCCCCATATCTTCGGAACGGCTAGACCTGCCTTCGCCTAAAACTAATCAGCACGTTTCCTTATCAATACAAATCGAATGTTTTTGAATTATTCAAATCGGTTGATCCGTGTTCCCAAAATCGTCGACGCAAATTTGTATCCGCACACACACATACACACATACATCCATTGTTTCTAAGGTACGCCAAACTGTTCAGAAACTTCTGAAACGTAAAGATACATAAAAAATGTCATTTTTGATTTTTTGCGATTACTATAACTTACCCTACGGAATGTTAAAAAAGTATCTTACATGTGACGTCATAAAACATAAAATAGAAGTGCTGAAAGAACGAATGAAAATTGACCAGAATGT